TAGTGCACGTGAGGTTTTGTTAACTATAGCCAGAGTCTCCTCTACAGAATGTCAGCATTCACTTCTACCACCAGTGGTCCTGTCCATTTCCCTGCAGCCTTACCAATATTTTATCCAATCTTGAGTTTTTGCCAATCTGACAGGTAAGAAGAAGCATCTCAGGGCCGTTTTAATTAATGTTTGCTTTGCGAGACAACGTCTCATATAACTCAGACTAGCCTCAAACTCAACATGTAGCTGAGCATGACCTTGATCCTCCTACCTTTACCTCAAAAGTGCTAATATTACAGCACCCAATTGGTACTGTGCTGGGGACTGAGCCCAGAGCTTGCTACATGCTGGGGAAACACTGTTCCTACTGAGCCACATCTCCAGCCCTAGCACCTGTTTCACTTTAGAGAGGTGAGCACCTACTTGTCTGCTTGTCTGTGAGCCATCTTACAGTGGTTGCTTCACTCCCAGATCCATGGTCTTTTCTTCTTGATTTACAGAAGTTCTTCTTAGGTTAGGGACGTCAGCCTTTAATGAGTACCCTGTAGTCTCTGGGTACAGTGGTCTGGAGATGTCAATGAGGTCCAGGTCGTTGATGATGTTGTTCAAACTGCTCTGATGATAAGCGGTCATTCATTCAAGTGGAATCATCCATGGGCATTTGGAAATACCAACAGAGAACTCAATTGAGAGGCTAGAACTGGAGAAATAAATTAGGGACAAATCTGTACAGATGACATAACAATGACATGGGTGAGACCACCTAGTGGGAGAAAGTAGACACAAAGGGGTCAAAAGCTGAGTGCTCCAGCATTTAGAAATTGGGAAGAGCCACCAGTGGAACTGAAGGAGTGTCTGCTTGCATGGGGAAGAGAACACAGAGCAGATCTCAGGAGATCTGGAGAACACAGGAAGCAGACGGTCAAGCACTTTCAGATTAATAAAAAGAGCTTTCCCTCCCTTGTTTTCACTTGTCCCTATGATCTAATTTTTTTTATCTATTCATTTTTATTTTCTGTGTATGAGTGTCTTGCCTGCATATAACCGCACCCATGTTGTGCAATGTCCACAGAGGCCAGAAGAGGGCATGGGATCCCCTGGAACTGGAGTTATGGTTGGTTGTTAGCCACCATCTGGTTCTGGGAACCAAAACTAGGTCCTCTGCAAAAGCAGCCAGTGCTCTTAATCATAGAGCCATCTCTCCAGCCCCTTTCCTGTGTTTTTTTTTTAAATATTTTATTTACTATTTTTATGTGTTTGAGTGTATTGCTTGCATGTAGGTAGATGCACCAGTGTTGTGAAATGCCTGCAGAGGTCAGAAGAGGGCATCGGATCCCCTGGAACTGGAGTTACAAAAGGTTGTTAGTTGTCATGGGGTGTTGGGAATCAAACCTGGGTCCTCTGCAGGAGCAGCCAGTGCTCTTAACTGCTGAGCCATCTCTCCAGCGTCCCTTTCCTGTGTTTTTTTTTAAGGTGGCACTTTTTGGTGGAATTAATCACTGGATTAATTCCACTGGTACAAAACAGACTGTTGGTGACCTTGACGAATGGACTTTCAGTGCAGAGGTATGGTGACCATAGTACAGCAAGCAAGTTGCCAGCTGCTCAAGGACATTTGATATCTTAGGCTAGAAACATAAAGCTCAGCCAGAGTGCCTGTGTGTGTCTCAGGTCACATTCCACTACACAGGGCCAGGCAGAGCAGAGAGAGCCAGGGCTCTGACCAGTAAAGACCGATGGATCCAGGACTCTGAGTTTGGGATGGTGAGTGGGGGAAGGAGAGGAGAGCATGGTAGAGCAGTGGGCTGGAGGTGTGGGTGCCATCGAATCCCAGTTTATTATGCTCCATAAACACTACATGTAACAGACCACGTGGACTCACCAGACGCTCTGTAGCTGATGGAGTAGTCTAAGAAGGAAGCACAACAGCTGGGGAATAGTTCTCACAATTTATTCTTATTTGGGTTTACAATGATTCAAAGATGACAGAGCCCACTGTGAATGGGTTTACTACACATCAGAACAGCGTAAGGTAGGAGAGCCCGACTACTGATGTTTAAAAGAGTCATTTGGCTGTGTCGTAGATAGTCTATGGTATGAGGGGTTTTTTGATGTCTCTACACGCTACAACCCTATACATTTCTATTTTATCAGTCTCTAAGAAACTTTGTTTCAGAAATTTTAATAAAATGGATGGCAAAAATTAAAAAATATGATTTATCTGTGTGCTTGTGTCTGATAAATTAGTGAAAAATGTTTGGAAAGCAGGGGGTTTATGTGTACAATACTGTTAATTTATATATGACTGATAATAAATTTTATGGATAAATAAAAGAAATCATACATGAAAACTTTCAAAGACTTGTAATACTTTAAAAGGAATATATATCCTGAAAAAAAATGATTTCTTGTAACTCTGTAACTTCCCCAATATTTGTTAAAAATAAAAGTAATATACATCCCTTTATAATTGATATAAGTCAGCATCGTTTTCCCCTATTTCATGCTTCTTAGACATTCTGTTGCTTTAATCAAGGCTGACTAGCTGAAGAGAAAGGAGATGAACTCAATCAGTCATCTGAGCTTTGCGACCTGTAGTACGTGGCACATCTAGGAAGAGTCATGACCATCAATCAGATGTTCTGAGAAGTAAGGTGCTGTTCTTTATCCTAAACTTTGCGTTATATTTATTTTAAAATACTTTCATTATTTTTTTATGTTCTTGATTTTAGGAACATGAATAGTGTTTAGAGTCGGCTGTGCTGACCACTGGGAAACATTAGAGGGAAATGTCCCTATAGGAATCTAAAAGACGTGGTCATGCTCTATGAAACCCTGTTTCTCCAGCTGGCTTCCTCTCAGTTATGTAGGTAGATATTCTTGGTACATTTGGGGGCCACAGATGTGTCACAGAATGTATACTGGTCTAGAAGATCCTGGAAATTTACGGTTTGGTCACTTTGCAACTGTGCAACCTTAAAAACGTCACTTCTCTGAACTTCCATTCCCTCTACTATGAAACATAGGCAGGAGAATCCATCCTATCTACCATACAGATACGGCTGTGAGCACTAAATGCTATGATGTATTTGAATGTGTTTTGAAATATGTAACACACCAGCCTAACGCTATTGACCACTGCTCTAAAATTGAAGCTTGCTCTGGATTTTTTTTTTTTGTGGGTTAAAAATTAATTCCAGTACTCAGTAGGCTGAGGCAGGAGGACCTCAAATTCAAGCCCAGTCTGAGTTGCATAGCAAAACTGTCTCAAAAGATAGCAAAAAAAAAAAAAAAAAAAAAAAAAAAAAAAAAAAAAAACCAAAAGAACATAAAGCCCAAATGTAAAGAATTCACAAATGCTTTACAATAAATGAAAGGTATTCATGACTCTTTTAAAAAATAAAAACTTTGCAGCTAAATATTCATCAACTTAAACCTCCTGCTTCTTTTGTAAGAATGTTCATTATGTGATATTATAACTCTCCAAAGGAGAAATTCCATAATTAGTAAAGTTCTCTGCCTTAAAAGCTTGATTACAAGGCAGACGAATGGAATAAAGTTTAAAATAAGCAAAACTATATAACACTCTAAACTACAGCCTCCTTATTTTAAAGAGCTTAATAAGAATACTTCCTCAATATATTAACAACTAATTATATAATAACGAACTCATCCAACAATCAAAATTGATGTGCATTTTATTCCCTATCAGCTTGAGTTATTAAATAGCTAAGAGTCTTTTTAAGATTGTACTGCATTTTAAAATGATATGTGATAGAAAAAGGCTTACTACTGAATAGGTAGATGTTGGTCGGGTGTTTAAAATATTGGCCAGCGCTTTAGAAAAATATTTGAGAAATATAGCAGTGTATATGATAGGTCCCTGCAGAATAAGCCTGTGCAAGAGATGACACATAAAGGCCAGACACTTAGGTAAACCACCAGCTTCTCTCTCAGAAGGCGACTGACTGGTGTGATGCCTTGAAAAAGTAACAAACTACCTGCTGTTTCCAAATCTTACCTCTAGATCATAGTAAAAGGTCCTTTTAAAATAGAAATTACTTATAATATAGACAACAAATACTATATCCTACTAAGGAGCAAAAGTTGGGGACCAAATGACAAAAGCATGCAAACAAAATGTGCTTAAGAATAATGATGCTGACACTGTCATGGCACCATGGATTTATCAGCAATCCAGGGACTCCTCCATTGAAAGTGCTTTTTTGTGCTCTCTCATTCATTCTCCCTCTCCCTCTCCCTCTCCCTCCCTTCCTCTTTCTTCCCCCTCCCCCCCCCCTCTCTCCCCCCCCCCCCCTCTCTACACACACACACACACACACACACACACACACACACACACACACACACAGAGTTTCATATACTACCTTGTGCCCACAAATGCAGCTCAAGTTATCTTCCACTTTGACTATTGTTTTCTGAAAAGATCAACATTTTCAACACACCAATGATGAAAACGGCCCAGTGCTTTCATTAAAGATCTCTCAAGACCATTCTATGATCCTAGGACCAGGAGGGTTGCACTAAGGCATGAAGACTGCAAGTTCAAGGCCGGCCTGGACAACACAGTGAGACCCTGTCTCAGAAGAAAAACAAAATCATCTGTGTTTAAAGGGTGACCTTCTAAGAACACACAAAGCTGAAATTAAACTAACGTTGGCACAGGGCAATTTTAGACATAGGTATGTTCGTATGTTCAGTAGAATGTGTTTAGGTCAGTTAGGAACAAGTAATTGGTAAACAAGTCTTTAGCTCCCATGGAGGAAGGCGTAATTAACACTGGAAAGCTCGGCTGGGTACCTCTCATTTCATAGTAGGCTTTGCAGTACACCACAGCTGTAGGACTAGGAGGTGGAACCTAAAGCTCTCTTATTCTAACCTTGTATTAATTTAATAATAAAGCATGTCTCTGCTAAGTCTGTGGTTTCAAAATGACTCATTGTAAACATCCGATATTCTTTCCTAATTAATTTCAGAGCTTGAGCCTGTTCTATGTCTAAGTCGAATTACTTATTCTACAAAAGGCAGCACAAATACCGTTCATTCTGGTTTCAGCACAAATTCCTCAAAAAGTGTGTTAAGGCCATTTAATGGAATCAGGGTGAGCCACAGACTACCCTGCAGAAGTCACACGCCAGACAGAAGGGCTCCAGGAGGGAGCAGCAGTGCTGCCCCGTGTTTTCCTCCAGGGCAACTCGCTGCCAGCTTGCAGCACTCATTAGTCTCCCACATCTCCATCGCGGTCTCCAATAAGCCAGAGAAAATGGAAACTTAAGGCCAGCAAAGCTGTCCCGAGCAGATCACCCAGCGCAGTCAGGTAAGGGATAGAGAAGCTGTCCGGGTCCTTTCCTTTCCTCCAGAAGCGGTGAACCATCCAGTCAGCGATCCACAGCAGCGTGAACACCTGCAAGAGAGCAGCAGAGATGACACCTGCCACCTGCACCTTCCGAGCCCTTAACATGGCCATGAACCTGAACCACTGGCTTCTGAACCTGAACCACTGGCTTCTGGGAGCAGCAGCATGTGCACAGGTCAAGAAGCATGCTTGGAAAAAGAGATATTTAATTAAGGGGACTATAATCTTTTTTTTTTAATGTGTGTATTGAGTGTTGTGGTTGCATATATACCAGTGCACCCATGTGATGCAATGCCTGCAGAGGTCAGAAGAGGGTGTCAGATTCCCTAGAACTGGAGTTATAGATGGTTGTTAGCTGCCCTATGGATGCTGGGATTCCAATCCAGTTCTTCTGCAAGAGCAGCCAGTGCTCTTAACCGCTGAGCCATCTCTCTAGCCTCAGGAATATAATCTTTTTACAACAAAAAAATAGCACAGATGGTTGTGGTTCTTAAAGTTTTCCACTTTCCACACAGCATCTCATTTTTCATCCAGCTGTGGTTTATGGTATGTTCTCCTCCACCACCTTGGGTAACAAATGGCCACATGCTGTCATTTTAGCTGACATCTTTACCAGGGAGGAAGGTAGCTTAGTCAAACATGGGAGACAGGTACCCAAGATAAATTCCACAGGGGTGAGCTTCAGGTGCCCCTGGACCTCAGGTGCCCCTGGCCAGAAACGTCATACTTTAAGCTCTATTGAGTCTCTTGCATGAGGCCAGTGCTTCCTTACTGTTTAATATGCAAAGACTGACTCACAATCAGAGCGCTTAATTAGGACAATCTGTTTTGAGTGTGTAGGATGCAGAGACTATTAGAATCCTGAACTTAGATGTTGTAAAATTTGGAATTGAGCCTGTAATCCCAGCACTTAGAGGACTGAGGAAAGAGGACTTCAGCAAGTTCAAGGCCAGTCTTGGCCACATTGTGAGGTCAAGGCCTGACCTAAGCTATAGAATGAGACCCTGTCTCAAAACTCCGAAGATCTGGATTTGATTCTCAGATCTCTGGGCAGATTTCTTATGGCTCTAGGCTTAAATCTTCTTATTTGAAGGAAACAAACACAAAGTCTAAAAAAGGAAAGGAGGGAAGGGCTGGCAATGCAGATCAGCAGTCCAGCAGTCCTGACACAGAGCGCCACAGAACTCATAAGCTATAGAGCCAGTTCCAGGAGCTTGTTGGTCTAAAAGTGATGCCTCTGCTCATCTTGGACCTCCTCCAACCTCAGGAAAGGTACGTGACAACCACTGCTAGATGCCACCTTGGCTGAGGCTGGCAGCCAATAGAAGCTGGCAGCCAATAACTGACCTACTAGAAGCCCTGGGTCAGTGCATGCCTCACTGGGTGGAAGAGTCCTTTAGGACATCCTGCAGTTTGGGGGACCAGAGGCAGCAATAGCCCCAATCCAGGGTCTACCTATGGCAGCCCCAAAGGAATTAAAGAAGGCCTCCTCCCTAGCACCAGCACTACCAGCACCAGCACTGAGTGTAACAGCCTCACAGTGTGACCTACAGAAGCCCCCTTCAAAGCCTACTGGTGCCACAGGCCCCATCACCACCTGTGCTCATCTGGCGGGACTTGGGAATGGCCTAAACCATTCTGTGGCTCCAGAGCCATGGCTGCAATGTCACAGGCCAAGGCATTTACCACAGAAATCATAGCAGTCCTAGGCGAGATCTTCATCGAAACCCTGTAACTTGGAAACAGTGACTGATGGTGCCATATCTTGGTGTCACCTGTACTTGCCCTGAGGGACTTGAACAGATCCTGTGTGTATCCCTACCACCAAGATGGGAACAGTAGTTCCACAGCTGGCATCAGCTGGACCCTGGAGCCTGAGGACATGCACACATTTGGCACTCCACAAGGCTGTCTGACTTCCTTCAGGCTGCAGACTACACTGCTGAGGCATTTACAGCAATGTTGACATCAGCCAAAGGGAAAACTCACACAGAGTTGAGTTCCCCTATAACCAAACTGAGATACCTCAATCAACTAGAATCTGATATCCCAGCTAAGCAAAGACATATTTTCCACAGAAGGTACTTCATCAGATCAGAGGAAACAAGCACCATACTGGATGCACAGACATCAAGAGACGAAATGCAAAGGAAAAACAAAATCTGCAAAGGAGAACAGTAATTCTCCAGAAACAGATCTTAATCTAAGGAAAGCTGTGAGATGCAGAAAAGAATTCAAAATAACCCTCCAAACAAAATTCTGTAAGATGCAAGAGGATAGAGATCAACAATATAAAGAAATCAGAAAACCAACTCAGGATGTGAATAAGAAAGCCTCAAAAGAAAAAAAAAAGTGAGGGGGACTGGGGAGATGGCTCAGTGGTTAGGAGCACTGGCTGCTCTTGCAGAGGACCCAGCTAAAAAACATCTGTAACTACAGTTCCAGGGTATCCAATGCCCTCTTCTGGTCTCCACAGGCACTGCACAACATGGGTGCACTTACCATGCAGGCAAAACACTCATACACATAAAATAAATTTAAAAAAATTTAAAAACAGAAAAAAACTGGAACCCTCAGAACTATAAATTTCAATCAATGAAATGAAAAATACTAGAATACTTCCAAAATAGACTAGAAAACACAAGGCCTTGGAGAGGTGGTGGGGCCTTTGAGACACATAGGAGACTGTTAGCAAACAAATACTTGCATCATCATGGCAATTCCAGAAAGTGAGGAAAAGGGAAAAGTATTAAAAACCTATTTTAGCCAGGCGTGGTGGTGCAGGCCTTTAATGCCAGCACTAAAAAAGCAGAAGCAGGCAGATCTCTGTGAGTTCAAGGCCAGCCTGGTCTACATAGTGAGCTCCAGGAGAGCTGGGGCTACAGGGAGACCCTGTCTCAAAAAGACCAATTAATTAATTAATTAATTAATTAATTAAAAACCTATTTCATAGGCTGGCAAAGTGCTTGCCATGCAAATCTGATGGTTTGAGTTTGATTCTAGGAACTCAGATAAAGGTAGAAGGAGAGAACCAATGCCAAAATTGTCCTCTGACTTCTACACACACTCCATGGCACATGTGCACCCCCCATCACACACACACACACACACACACACACACACACACACACAAATAATAGTAACAAAAATTACAATAAAAATAAGCCTAGTTCACAAAATAATAGCTGAAAAATTTCCAAATCTTCAAAGCAATGCAGATATTCAGATTCAAGATGCTTAAAGGTCTCTAATTAGATTCAACCAAAACACGTCTGCATCACCAAAGCACATTACAAAAATTTCTACACTACACTGCAAAGGGGAACCCTGAGAAAGGAAAGAAAACAGTGTCATGTCACACAGTTCAGGCAAAGGCCCATCAGACTTACAGCAGATGCCTTAGTTCTAAGAAGGCTTACAGGTCAAAAGAAAGCATGATGATATCGTCACAGTAATGCTCTGTGCATGCCGTCACACCCACAACGCCAGGGAACGCTGCCTGAAACACCTCTGCTCAAATGTGACCACTGTACGTTATGCAGACTTGCTTTTACTGCATGTGCAGTTTTCTGCTTTAAAACATAATGGTTTAATTATGGAAAATAAAGATTTTAATATTTTCTTAATGTCATTCTTCAGCATGTAAATGCCAAATTAGTTTTTCTTTACATTGTACTATTTTAGAATGTTTGGTTTTAAAAATTGCTGTTGAAGCCAGGCATGGTGGTACACCAACCAACCAAACAAACAAAAAATTGCTGTTTGAGTTGATTAAAGTTTCATAAAAAAATCATTAAATTAATTTGGGGTTAAGACAAGATTTCCCAGATTTTGAAATGGCCCTAAATGTACTTCTGCCATTGGTAGTACATATTTCTGTGATGTGGCATTCTCGGCACTGATGAGGGTAATATCAACTTTGGAAAATGCAGGATGTGCTACATTCTGCAGAATCAAATACTCAGCCAAGATTTAACTCTATGTAATCAGGCACATAGGTGTCATCTGTATGAAAATTTGCTTTAAATTTTATTATTACTGTGTGCATGCACGCATGGTATGGGGGAGACAGTGTATGCCACAGATCACATGTAGACTCTGTTGAGCTGATTCTCTCCTTCCATCTTTATGTGGATTCTGGAGGTCAAATTCAAGTTGTCAGGCTTGCAAGACAAGCACTTTTACCCACTGAGCCATCTCACCTGCCCTTTCATCTTTAATACATAGTAAAATTATATGTTTACCAAAGAATTGTTTTAAAATAAACTTCTTTATGACTTATACCGAGTATGGTGGCACACACCTTTAATTCCAGCCCTCAGAAGGCAGAGGCAGGCAGATCTCTGTGAGATCAAGGTCAGCCTGTCTACATAGTGAGTTCCAGGAAGGCTGGAACTAGGGAGACCCTGACAAAAAAAACTTCTTTATGGCTTACCAGTAATTGTTCGACTATATAGTTACTTTAAACATACACATACTGGGATAATATAAGAATTTCTTAAGAGAAAAGGGGTCATGAATGGAAAAAGTTTAAAAAGCCCTGGTCTAAAAATAGGCAGCCATGACAACAGCTCACAGGCCAAATTCAACCTGTCACCTACTTTGGTAAATAAAATTTTATTGGCATACACCTCTACTCATGTGTTTACTTATGTCCTAAATTCTTACCCACAAAGCTGCAGAAATTTATCATCTGGTCATTTATAGGAAAAGGGTGCCGGACCTATCCAGAAGAAAAACACTACATAGGAAAAAGAAATGGCTAGTCCTAGCATGCAGGAGGTTGAGGCAGGAGAATTATGAGTTCAAAGCCAGCCAGGGCTACATAGAGAGACCTTGTTTCAAATATCACCCACAAAAAGAAAGAAGAAAGAAAGAAAGAAAAAAAGAAAGAAAGAAAGAAAGGGCATCATGGGAGGGAAGGAAGGAAGGAAGGAAGGAAGGAAGGAAGGAAGGAAGGAAGGAAGGAAGGCAGGAAGGAACCCTTATCCCACATCTCAACATAAATTACAGGTAAAGAGTATAAAAAGAAATACTTGAAAACTTTT